TAGTGTCCTGGCCCCACTGGTGGACCTCCTGATGGTCCCTGGTCTTTTTGGCCACTGTGTGACACAGAGTGTTGGACTGGATGGGCCACTGGCCTGATCCAACACTGGCTTCTCTTATGTTCTTAAGACCATCCACAACTCACAACAATACATGCTCGGAACTGTATATTACGTTCATCGAAGTACAAAGTTGGGTTAATGGTCATGATCCAATTTCCAAAATAACGTAGGCACAGCTCAGTAACTGTTGACGATGATCGAAACATCTGATTTATACCTGGGAGAGGCATACGCAGAGGTAATTCAGTAGGAAAAAGAGGTGCAGGAGCAAATTAGCATAACTTATTAGAATAACTTGTGTTTGCGTATGCCACGCCCCCTGACATCACCGGAAGTGTGTCAGAAGGCAACACCCACTGCTCAGGGGTTGAGGGAACTGGGCAAAAGCAGCTGCGATATGACTACAATTGCAGCCACATGTGCCCACTCCTGGGCTTGTCGCTCCCGGAACGCCGTTCCTGCTCTTTCCCCCTTGAAATGACCCCTGGGTGTCTGGCTGTTATTCTTTCCATAGTGGGCATCTTCTGCCAAAGTTACTTTCTGTTTGGAGGTCTATGGACACTATGTATGGAACTACAGAGGAGCCAACTGTTGGTTTTGAATATGTTCTTTCTGTAAAATATGTTTAATTGTCATGAGCACTCTGTTGGATATGTGCCTATGCATTCTATTGGGTTATGTCCACTAACCCAACTTTGTACTTCAGTGAATGGAATATACAAGTCTTCAAGTATCTGAAGGGCTGTCATGTAGAAGATGAAGCAGATTTATTCTCTCTTGCTCCGGATTGCAAAACTAGATCTAATGGGTGGAAATTACAAGGGAGTTGTTACCAGATGAATATCAGGAGAAACTTTCTAACTGTCAGAGTGGTTGAGCAGTGGAACAGACTGCCTCAGGAGGTGGTGGATGCTCCTTCGCTGGACGTTTTCAAGCGGAGGCTGGACGACCATCTTTCGGCTATGCTCCTGCAGAGTGCAGGGGGTTGGACTAGATGACCTGCAAGGTCCCTTCCAACTCTAGCATTCTATGATTCTACAGTTTTGAGCATATATTGTTGTGAATTGTGGATAGTCTTCCCTTGGCGGGTGTTTTGTGGCTCGATCTAGTAGCAAGCACGAGGCAGAAGGCATAATATACAGGTTTGAGCCTATATTGTTGTGAATTGTGGACAGTCTTCCCTTGGCGGGTGTTCTTTGTGGCTCAATCTAGTAGCAAGCACGAGGCAGAAGGCAAACCCATTGCAGCGTGCACAGTACCGAAAGAGGGGAGCAGTTGTGCAACTTTATGTGCCCTAAAGCCCTGACGTTTCCCAACCCACCACCAGTCGACACCCAAAAGAAAGCAGATAGTTTTTAAGAGGGGCCAGAGGGAAATGTCAGAAACCCTTGACATCTACTAGTAAATTTCAAAGCCGAATGCGTGCTCGCAATAAATGCCCCGAGGTCAGCCTTCATCGCCGCCATTTACGCCGAGCGTTTCCTCTGACCCAGGCACAAATATCAAGTGGCTCAGTCGCTTTTTGACATTTCCCACTGAGCCTCCTAAAACCTTTCTAGTAAATATCAGCATTCGCCGAGTTTTTGACATTTTACTACAATTCAGTCCCATCTTTTGGAATCGGCGAAACCATGGTCTTTTCTTCTTGGGAAGTATGCACGGACTTATCTTTTGTGTTTTCCTAGACTCCCGCCTCCACCCATTGTCATCTTTCTGTTAGGGACGATTCCAGGCTCCTGTTTCAGCCAAATCTCTTTGAAGAGGGAGACAGCCAAAAAGATGCTGAAAGGGAAGATAAAGAGGATCTGTTCGCCTAGGAAGTTATTTAAAAAGTAAAGGTAAAAGTTTCCCTTGCTCGAAAGGCAGTCAAATCCAACTCTAGGGGATGGTGCTCATCTCCAAGCCGAAGAGCCAGTGCTGTCCGAAGACGTTTCCATGGTCAGGTGGCCGGCATGACTAGATGCCGAGGCGCACGGAACGCAGTTCCCTTCCCACCGAAGCGGGACCTATTTATCTACTTGCCATTTCTTGCTTTCGAACTGCTGGGATACAGTGGTTAACCATCGGTTAGGAGAGGTACACGTAGAATCAGAGTTGGAAGGGACCTCCAGGGTCATCCAGTCCAACCCCCTGCACAGTGCAGAAAATTCGAAAATACCTCCGCCCGCCCCCCCCCCCCAGTGACCCCTGTTCCATGCCCAGGATCCCAGCCAAACCGGCCTGGAGAAAAATTGCTTTCTGACCGCCAAAATGCCGATCAGCCTTTCCCTGGGCATGTAAGAAAGGGCAACGAGAACTAAGCCCTCATGCATCCCTCCCTGCCCTCCCTCTTGTGATCTGACTTTCATGATATCTGAACACATATGAAGCTGCTTTATACTGAATCAGATCCTTGGTCCGTCAAGGTCAGTATTGTCTACTCTGACTGACAGCGGCTCTCCGGGGGGGAAAAAACGGAGGTCTTTCACATTACCTACTGCCTGTTCCTTTCTAACTGGAGATGCCGGGGATTCAACCCGGGACCT